ATAAATATATTGTAAGAAAAACCGACTCGTTGAATATTTGAGAAACTCAGTGCATTGCTTTATTGATTTTTATTCATATACAATAGTATTAATGAAACTGAGTCCTATAAAACTATCAAAGTAAACTTCCTAAAAAGGTGTATCTCCTATTCACAACATTACCCTTGAAACCTTTGACTTTCATCGATGAGCAGTCGAAAGATTAAAGGATACCGTTGTGTATCGGGGGTTTCCCTCTTTATATTAAAGGTCACATTAAGTTACGCATACAGTTCCTTTAAAGAATTTACTTACAATAAGAGTTCCCATTTTAGCTTGTATTTCCTCCATACTAATCCGGAAATTTAAATCTCCGCTTTTCTCCTGAAAATACATTGACATGAATGGATGGATCCAAATAGATTCTAGTACAATAGATGGCAGCGTAGACTTTCACAAGTGTCAACTTAGTTTTTGTGTCTGGGAAAATTATTAATAATAGTTATAATTTTAAGAAAAAAGTGCAAATATGCAGTGCAATTTTATTTGTTCAATCTTTACTTACTGTTTTTACATTTTTTATTTAATCTAGGAAAACATGTCAACTAATATGAGAAAACTTCGTTTATCCTTGTTATATTTCACACTTGCGATAATTGGTCCATTTCTCTGTTGTCACCCATTGTACATGATTTGGATGGATCGAGCTATTAACGTCAAACTAAAGTAACTTGCACCGTGCACGTTAGATTTAAATTTTGTAATGTTTTCTTTTACAACTCCTTAGATTAAAGAGCATTATGTATCATTACTGAGTTTAAGCAGAAAGTCGACTTTCAAAATCACACTTTCAATCTTTTTTTAAATTATTCAATAACGACGTTAAAAAATGTAACAAAAATTCTACAGTAAACAAATTTGTTGTTTAGGAACAGGTTGAGAAAAAAAATTGACTCTCGTTTCCTAAAATAAGTAATCGAACAAATTCGAAAAGAAGAAGAAATATTATAATGATGGAAAAGAAATAATTGATTCTAACATTGACTTGTTGACAAATTTCTGTTGGGAAATATATTCCTAAACATCTAATAGTTTACTGTTAAATATGTTTTACATTTTTTGTCGTCGTTATTTAATAATTAAAATCGATTCTTAAAACGTTACCACCAAAATGGATGATTTTGCGCTTAAACTCAGTAATGATACGTCCTTAAATCGTTTTATATGTCTCAAATGAATCATAAAAATTTCTCCACAATACTACAGTCTCAGTTCAACTACCATACATTGCCGGTCACACCCTTTAAATAAAATAAGGTTAAGATTTGCACCGTCGCGCTGAAGAATTGAAGCTAGGGATTGTGAGCGTAATTTCAAGTGACCTTGCACGAAAGGATAGCAATGCCCAACGCACAACGGTACCCTTAAAAGCTATGCCTGATTAAGTATGAAGTAGATATCAATGTTTAAAATTTTGAAAACTGATAATTTTTAAATGCTGTTTTCAAAAGAAAGAAAAAAGAGAAATGATCATAAATAAACACTTTTGACCTGAAAAACGAAAAGACCATCCATATTATTTAAAAGATAAAGGTTTCAAGACGAAGGTTAGGTACCGCGCGCTGTGAATTGGGCATTGTCGTCTTTGCATGGAAAGTCTATTGAAATTAAGCTTATAGTCCCGTTTATTAAAGTTTTGTCAATATTTTTCTATATTTCAGTGATCAATCTGAGATCGATTAAAATACCAATATCTGAAATACCTCCGCCAAAAAAAGCAAGAACGTGTTTCCACCGTAAACTAAGATATTTTATCACAAATGATAGATTTAAATTTTGCCAAATTATTCTAATTAACAAAGTTTTAAAATAAGCGTTTTTATGTTTTTAATCTTCTATACAAGGAAGCAAAAAAAAGTGTTATGACAACAGAGCAAAATTTGTCTTAAAAAATGCGTTTATTGTATACTTTGTAAACCGCTGTGTTTCTATGCAGTTGAATTGAAAACAATGAAATATTCAAGAATTTGAACAAATTACAGTCCATGGTTGAAAATATATCACGATATAGGGATACACAGGTTTAGGAAATACAACTTTTCACGGGGGGGGGGGGGGGGGGTTTATTTGAATATTTTTTTTTAATAATCTATATATCACTATTAGGTTTAAAATTCGGTGATGGTGATGGACAAAACCTCTGTCTGTAGAGTAAAAAGTAGGTGTTAGTTCCACATTTATTGAAAAAAAATTTCGGTCTGGGTTGACCCTCGTCAGTTCTTGAGATTGTTTCTGTCACAAAGTTTAAAAATTGCGCTTTGCACACCTCTTTCTTGTAAAGTAATAAGTTTAGCATTGAAATGTTACACATCTGATTAAAGTAGATTTTATAAAAGTTTAACAATGGACATCATACATAGTTGCAATTGGATCTACTCTTTCTCAAGAACTTTTAAGAAAAAGATGTTTTACTTCTTGAAAAATAGAAAGTAAAGGAGCTGTAAGATCACAAAGTTAATGCAACATATATTGTAAATTACCTTTTGAGAATGTTTGTGAACAAAACGATCCGTCCTTAAAATACATAATCATTGAATTTAGATTAGTTTAACAAAAAATGTCTTTGGGCCAGCTTTAATGAATAGCGAGAAGAAGTTGAACCGCGAAGATGGTTCGCCGGAAAAAATTCAGCAGAAGTTGTTCAATATTTATTTAGGCGCCCCTGGGCGGTTAGATTGTGTGAAGAGCTGCGGAGCCCCTGGTTGGGAGTACTGCTTGTGTAGTGAGTGTCTGTACTGTAGCTAGGCGCAGCTTTCTTGTCCCTGCCCCGGCGTGGGCTGGCGGCCCGTGCCTTTGTTTCTCCCTCCCTGCCGGTTTTGGCCAGTTCTTCTCTCCCTCTCTCAGCGTTCNCCTCGTCCCCTACTTAAGTCTCTCTCCGTTTAGTTTTAGTTTATAATTTTGCGCCCTTAAGCTCGATTTATAGCTCAGAAGCTCGATTTAATAGCTTCTTTTACACTCAGTTACTTTTATTTAGTTTAATTTTATAGTAATTTAATAAGTAACTTTAATGATAATTTAAATTTCCCACGATTTAATTCTAGTTTATAGTTGTTTTGTACCCTAAAGCTCGATTTAACAGCCTGGATTCTCGTTTCCATATCTTTATTTTCACTCAAAGTTACTTTATTTAGTTTACAGTTGATAGTAGTTCTTTAAGTCACATTTAATAGGGTGGTTTGCACTTGTAGACTCGTTTCAATAGCTTCTTTTCTATTATTATCAATTTAAATTATATTTATATAGTAATTTAGAGTACCCTTAAGCTCATTTTAATAGCTTAGAAGCTCGATTTAATAGCTTCAATTACACTTAGATTTACTTTTAATTAGTTTATAGTACTTACAAGCTCGATTTAATAGCTTGGAAGCTCGATTTAATAGCTTCAATTAATTTTTAAATTGTATGTTTTATAGTAATTTTATGGTATTTTAAGCTCAATTTAATAGCTTAGAAGCTCGATTTAATAGCTTCAATTACACTTAGATTTACTTTTAATTAGTTTTATAGTGTTTACAAGCTCGATTTAATAGCTTCAATTAATTTAGATTGTATGTTTATAGTAATTTATGGTGCCTTTAAGCTCGATTTAATAGCTTAGAAGCTCGATTTAATAGCTTCAATTACACGCAAAATTACATTTAATTATGTTTATAGAGTAGTAATTTCATTGTGCTTACAAGCTCGATTCAATAACTTAGAAGCTCGATTTAATAGCTTCATTCACTCAGAGTTAAGTTTGATAATGTGGTTTGCACTTGTAAGCTTGTGTCTTTAACTTCAATTATAGACCCTGGTTTAATAACTTGCATGCTAGATGTTCACTTTAACACGGTAAACAGTTATTTAAAATTAAAATTATAATCAATGTGGACCTATTTTACCATATACTTTAACTTTAATGATGCATTAGTTTAACGTAACCAAAACCTTAACAAGCTTTCAGGCGATAAGTTTGGTTTAAACCAGGTTCAATATTTGTTTAGAAATTTTTGTTTGGCAGTTTATTGACGTTGCTTTGCTTTGCCAATTAACTCGATTTAATAGTTTCACCACTTTTTCTTTGAAACGCAACTATCGCTAGTGGCTCAATTTAACAGCCTCAAGGGAAGCTCAAATTAATAGCTTTAACTTGTTACAGACTCGACTCATTCTTGTTTACTTTATTTATCAACTCTTTCTTTGCAAGGTCATTCAATACTCATTTACCATGTTACATGATTAAACAACTTATTGCTTAAAAGTCTCAACTACTTTATCGCTCATTTGCTTTCACTTAATTACAACCAAGAGACAGAAATATAATTACAGTTTATTACTTTAGTTATTATTGCAAGTATTATTTACAGTTCGTAATGATAAAAGACCACCAAGGGAAATTAAAGCAAAACCAGTGTATGGAGTCACTAAGTATGGATCAATTGGTTTATTCTCAACAAACTCTTTTCCTGGAGCTCTGGATCTGAAATGGAAGGAATATTTAGCCGTAATAGCCAACCATTCCTTGTCAAAGTCAACTTGGTCAACCTATTCAACCGCAGGAAGAATGCTGAAAAAATGCCAAGACGAAACAAATTTCTCAATGAACCTGCCGTTAGACCAGGAAAAAATACTTATTTTTGTAACCTGGCTGCTTGCAAGGAAACTGACTGCTAAAACAATAAATGCTTATCTGTCAGGACTCCGCCAAGTTCACTTAGCACAGGGGATCCCGATCCCAATTCTGCGGCCATCCCTGATACAACAACTGCTGACTGGAGCAACCAACATGGATCATATCAGAAGCCGTTTGAAGCAAAAACCAGTGAGGCTCACAGTGACTCCGACTTCCATGAAACTCTTCAAGTTAGACCTGAAAGAAAGTTCAATGACCAGAGAAATGAAACGTTTGGTTTGGTCGATTGCTACTCTTTGCTTCAATGGGGCTTTTAGAATCCATGAATTGCTCTCAAGGAACTCGAGACAATTTGACCCAAATTTTACTCTGTTAGGACGAGACGTAAAGTTAAAGTCTATCAAGATTCAAGGCCAAAAAGTTTCAATCTTACAAGTGAAACTTAAGTCTCCAAAAACTGACAGAGTCGGAGTTGATACAATAGTAGATGTCTATGAATCAGGAGGCCCGCTCTGTCCCTTAAGAGCTTTCTCAAGATGGAGGGCAGTAACTACTCACAAGAACAAGAACTTCCCTTTGTTTACGGATGACCAAGGACTACCTTTTACAGGGAAAAGGTTTAATGCTATTCTGAAAGACTCCTTGGGAAAATATTTGGACTACAACAAAGGAAGAATAACCTCACACTCGTTCAGGGCAGGAATAGCCTCCTTGCTCGGAGTTATTGGTTTCTCGGAAGAAGAAATTCAGGCAGTAGGGAGATGGAGCAGCAGAGCCTACCTTGACTACTTGAAACTACCAAGAACCAAAAGACTAGAAATGGCGAGGTTGATTGGGAATTTAAAAATGTAGTTAGTACTTGATATAATTTATATAAGATCAATAAATCTTCTTTGCTTAACAACAATTTTGCTTTGACTAAGAGCGTTCTCAGACTTGGTTCTTTACTTAATACTTGCCAATTAGACTTGGAGAACAGGAACATTTAAATTTAATTAACTTAACTTAACTAGCCTCTCCTATTTAGAGAATGACGGGAGTGAAGATGGCAGTCTAGCTGAAGAAGAATCTGCCAGAGCAGATAGAGTGGTAGAGGACAATGCAAGCAGTGGAGAGGATAGTGAAGTACCTTCCATTTCTTCAGTTCTCTCCACAAGGAGTGTTCTTGTTTCAAGATTAAACAGAGAGCTGCCAGGTATTGCCTCCATAAATTTATCAATAACCCGGTTAACGGGTGGTAATTATTTAATGTCTTTAATTAGCACAGCAAGTTAGGTAATTAACTTGAAATAAAATAACGTGTGTAAACTCTTAAGATTGTACAATAATTATAATGCAATTTATTTCGATCATGGCAGTATTTGAACAATAAGTTCTGTTTTTTTACGACGATGCTCAAAATCTCAAACTTAATTTAATTAATAATTATCCTAATTTTGAAGTGCAGTTGCTTTAACTCCACAATTTGTGAAGACCACTGCATAGATTGTTCAAATTTAATGAGCATGATTATTTCTAATCAAACTGTTACAGGGGCTCGCAAGAGGAAGACTCGTTCCGGCCGCTCCAATGTTGCTTCTCCAACAAGACCTAGGGGAACTGTGTCAGCAGCCAACAAAACCTCCAAGTCCAGGAGTCAAAATGCGGAGCTGAACGCAGATTCTTCTGACTCGGTTAAGATAGTTTCTAAAAACCGCAAGGGAAAGAAAAATAAGAGAAGGAAAACTGTCGCTGACAGCAGTTCTAGAAGCAGCAATTCCCAGTCTGAGTCTGAGACAGACAAAGTAAATAGAAAACGTTCCTACAGTTCCAGTAGTGGTTCTTCTGGCGGAGAAGACCAGAGAGAAAAGTCTAACTATGATGTTTTAAAAGATGTTCTTCCAGGGGAAGCCAGACTACTGAGAAACCAGAAAACAAAAATAAACCAAATGAAGATGAGTGAAGTGCTGGATCTAGTGAAACTCAAAAGAGCTGCTGACCAGGCTAATATTGGAGAAGCTGCCTCCAGGTTCTCAAAAGACAAACCTCCAAAACCGAGGAGGTTTAGAGAAGAAACTGATGATAGTGTTAAACTTTTGCATAAAGCAAGATTTCTACGAGCACCCTTGTCTGACATAAAGAAGTGGTGGAAGCTGATGCCCGCGGCTCGTTCTCATGTTTACAAAACAATTCCTCTGAAGTTCTCCGGTTCTCAAAGCAAACTTTCGGAGAAAACTATTGGGTTTATGCATGACCGGGCTAAGGCTTTGTCTATTAAGAATTTCCATTCACAGAATGCCTGTGTGGCAGCAAAACCAATGAAGAAAATAGAGAGAAAAGATGCTGAAGGGCTGGTAACCCTGTTCGACTATTCTTGGGAAGAGCCAAGCAGCCTGGCTGAATTTACGGAAGCTTTGATCAATTACATCGCCGCTATGCAACAGCTTTGGCCTCTTGACCCCACGGGGATTATCATGCTCCGTTTAATTAACACTTACAAGTGGATCAGTGTAGCCTACGAGCTAAAAGAGAAAATAGCTGTTCTCTCTTCTTATTTTAATGGAGTTCTTCAAGAGAACGCGGGCAGAGCCATAAGAGGTGAAGTAATCCTAGATTATAAGGAGCATGAAGATATCCTCAAGCTTGCCTTAACCTCGCACAACCTTTCAAGTGCGGTGCCTACCGGGAGAAATCCGAGGGCTGACCAAGATTTGCAGGCCAGGGCGGGGAAAAAGTCAAGTGCAAGCTATGTTCCTAACTCCTCTGGGTTTAGCTCCGGACACAGCTCTAACTTCAGAAAGGACGGGCAAAATCAACGACCAAAAGCCTCGTTTAACGGGCTCGGAGTATGCTACGCTTTCAACAATGGTTCATGTAAGTCTCCTAGTACATCATCAGGTTGCAAAGGTGCTGGTCGCGAGCTTGCTCACGTCTGCAACGTCTATGTCCAGCAGAAATCCTCCTTCTGTTTGGGAAAACATCCCAGAACTAGTCACAAATTCTAGTGCAATTAAACTTTGAGAGGCTTATTTAGCATTCGAAATATTTCCTTGTCGTTAACTTAACATTTAACAGACTTAATCTAGGTTAAATCTGTCAGCTTTTAAATTTTATTTCGTATGTGAGCATTTCTTAAATACCAAGTACTGCAATAAATATTAAACTGTTTATTTATTTGTTCAAATATAATTTCTTGTCAGTTGATCAGCGTTTATAAACATGAGCAAGATTGAATACTGTGTGTTAAAAGAATTTTTTTTCCTTGTTAAGTATTTCTGCATTTCTTAATAGGCATTACATCTGTGTCATAATCGAGTCTAAACCGGAACTAGTTTAATACGAGTTTAATACAATAGACATTCATTTGTTTATTTGCTTGATCAAATTTATTTCTTGTCACTCAATTATCTCTAATTAATCATAAGCAAAATTTATTACTGAGAGCTAGGGATGTTAGTCTAGTGTTTGAGTAGTTCTTAAATTGGTTTTAAAACTCAGAATACCCGAAATATAGTAATTGAACATTTGTGTTAGGATAGAGTCTAGCAACTGGAATACGTCTGGAAATATTCTATTTGTCTCTTGATTTACAATTCGGGTTAGTTGGGTGCAGGGTGTACCACGATACTTGACGGTTGGCAAATAGTTTAGAATGTCTTTCTCCAAAATTTGTTAAGTTTTGTTACCAAAGATCAATGAAATATATGAGAGACAGGTCATATTACACTTGATTTCAAAGTAAAGATAATGTAGGGTAAGATTTTGACTAAATATCGTTTTATTAAATGTCATGTTTTGTGGGGCGCCCTGTATTAATTATTTAGATACTCGTACTATTGTCCAAGTGTTCGGATTATTACTTGACTAGCGTTATAGTAATGGAGCTCGGAACACTCGAGAAATGTGGATGATTATGCAAGCCAGTTTAATTTACACTTGCTTGCTTTGATTCCCGGAGAATCATTAAAGTTATTTACCTTAAAGCTTATAATTACACTTATTTTCGTTAAATTAATTGATTTAATTTAAGTGGCCAACATCGTTAAATTTTATGCAAAAGTTTGTTTATACAAAAGCAATGCTAACGAGTCCAACACTTGGACAGTAAGATAGTAGGCCGGTTGATGCGACTCCTTTGTCTTATAAAGACGATCTCTCCGATTTGTGCGGCTTTGTCGCTCAATCTTAAGTTTCATAGCAGTGGTGTTAAAGTTAATTATTTCTGGTTTCTTTAACTAAATTTAGGCATTTATTTTTCTGTTTTCTTTAACTAAATTTAGACTTTTTGCTTGCATTTCGACTCTTAAACCCCTGCTTCTTATAGCGCTGGGTAAAGAGTTCTTTCCCTAGGTTTCAGTAGAGAAATTTTGGACAATTTCCACAGATGGAAGGATGCTTGGAGGCTCGCGGTGCATTCTACTTTGCCAGAACTACCTCCCCTTAAAACCTTTAAACCAAAGTTTGCGCTGCCGGAACTTGATTCATACGATGGCGTGTTTCCTACCTGGTTTTGGGCTTTAGCTCCGTCAAATTACAATTTTCCTGGTATCTCGCTAGTTGACGGTGAAAAACTGAGAGCGTCCGCACTAGAGTTCGGTTATCAAGACTTGGAAACCTTGAACAAAGTTTGTGCCGACTTGCAATGTGGAGCAGACATTGGCTGTTCAGGATCTTTCAGACTGCCGTCTAAGGCTACTAATGCACCTAGTGCTTTTGAAAACGGCAGGCAGGTGACAGATGCAGTTTGTGATTGGCTTGCAAAAGGTTTTGCTTATGGACCTGTGCCTTTAGCTCAAGTACCTGAGAAAGCGAAATTTAGCGGGATTATGACTAGGCCCAAGCCTAACGGCTCTGTGAGAATAATCTTGAACTTGAGTGCCCCGCTAGGAATGGCCGTTAATGAGGGCATCGACAACAACCAGTTCCCTACTTCAATGTCCTCCACTACTAAGTGGCTGAGGGTGTTGCGCCGAGCTGGTAAACATGCAAAAATGTGTAAAGTAGATTGGTCTGACGCGTATAAGCATGTTGCAGTTCGTTCGGAGGACACTGATCTGCAGTGGTTTCAGTGGGGTGGTCAAGCTTTTAAAGAGTTATGCCTTATCTTCGGTTGTGTCAGCAGTGCCGGTATTTTTGACCGCCTAGCGAAAATTGTCCTTTTCATTGTGGTACAGAAATCTCGCTTCCGTGAGGATATGGTGTGCCAACACCTGGATGACTGCTGCGCCGCTGCACCTTTTGACTCAGATGCGCTAGAGCGTTATGACGCAACTTTCACTGAAGTTGCAATTAATCTCGGGGTGAAGCTAGCTCCCCGGGACGACCCAGAGAAGTCCTTTGGTCCTGCTCAATCTGGCATTATTCTTGGCATACGCTATGACACTGTGGCTTGGACCTGGGCGTTGCCGGAAGAGAAATTATTTCGGCTTCTGCACCTCCTGCGTTCCTTTTTACAAGTTGATCAATGTCAGCAACATCTTATTTGGACGGCTGTGGGGAAGCTACAGCATATTAAACCTTTGGTGCCAACCGGACGGTTCTGCATAGACCACCTGATTCGCGCTAACTCGTTTTCGTTAGAGCGTACTTTTATGGTCCCTCTTTGCAGTGGGTTTAAGAGGCAAGCTTGGTTCTGGTTCTCTATGCTTCGACTGTGTTCTGGCTCCGGCCCAATACCTGACCCGGACTTGGGGCTGCCTCCATGGGCAATTGATGTGTTCACCGACTCAGCTGGCGGGGCCTGGGAGGGCTTGAAGGGTGCTGGAGCTTGCACTCCGACTTGGTGGGCTTTCTCCCCTTGGTCGGCCAAGATTAATCGAGGGGGCATGGGTCCTTCAAACCGTAAGTTGGGGCGTATGATGTCTGCGCTCGAGCTGGTAGGGCCTTTGCTGGTAGTGGCAGCTGGTTACCAATGGTGCCGCAATAAGCCTGTTAGAATTTGGGTAGACAACGCGGGCTCTGTTTTTATTTGGAAGAAGGGCTACAGCTCTAGCTGTCTTCTTTCCTCAACTCTAGTAAAAGCTATAGCTTCGGTCGCGGCTGGGCTAGGCAGCCAGGTTGACCTGGTGAAGATTACTCGGTGTTCTACGCCTCTGGCGGACATGGCAGACGCGCTATCCAAGTGTGCCTTTTCTAGATTTCGGGAAATTGCTTTTGGGGCAGGTTATACCACACTGCCTTTGGAGCCGGCTTGGATTCCAGCTCCCATCACTGCCTGGCTTCTTGACCCAGTTCCGGATGATTTCCTTGGGGATAAAATCCTCAATGAACTAGCTAAGAGAACCCTGGTGTTGGGGGTTAACTGCTAGAGCTGCTTAGGATGGTAAGGGTTGTTAGGACTCGGCTTTGCCTACTTTGGGTTTATTTTATCAAGGTTACCGCTCACTTTTGGCGGTTACCATTTCTTTTACTTTGGGCGGTGGAGAAACCGGTTGGCTTTGCTGACCGGTTTAGTTACCGCCCTATGTTAGCCGATGTTCTGCAACCCTTATGCATAGGTTCGTGACCTCAGCGCCTGCTGTGGTTGCCTCTTATGCCTTCCTTTTCCTCTTTTACCCTGTTCTCTTCTCACTCCGTTCACTGCTACTCTTGCCAGGTAAGCAGCGGTTCATATTTATTTAGGCGCCCCTGGGCGGTTAGATTGTGTGAAGAGCTGCGGAGCCCCTGGTTGGGAGTACTGCTTGTGTAGTGAGTGTCTGTACTGTAGCTAGGCGCAGCTTTCTTGTCCCTGCCCCGGCGTGGGCTGGCGGCCCGTGCCTTTGTTTCTCCCTCCCTGCCGGTTTTGGCCAGTTCTTCTCTCCCTCTCTCAGCGTTCCTCCCTCCCTCCCTGCTCTCTGCTGGCGGTTTGCCAGTGTTTGTATTGGTTGGGGTTTATTTTATCAAGGTTACCGCTCACTTTTGGCGGTTACCATTTCTTTTACTTTGGGCGGTGGAGAAACCGGTTGGCTTTGCTGACCGGTTTAGTTACCGCCCTATGTTAGCCGATGTTCTGCAACCCTTATGCATAGGTTCGTGACCTCAGCGCCTGCTGTGGTTGCCTCTTATGCCTTCCTTTTCCTCTTTTACCCTGTTCTCTTCTCACTCCGTTCACTGCTACTCTTGCCAGGTAAGCAGCGGTTCACGACGGTTACACGGTTCAACCACTTCTTGATATTAATTGAACACGAATCTCCAGTATTTATTTCAAGCCATTCAATTCCCAACATTTTTTTTTGGACTTCAGTTGCATTATTTTGCAATTATTTCATAATACCACTTAAATAAACCCTATGGAACACGTCAGGATAGAATAAGAAGAAAATATATAAAGTTAGTGTAAAAAAACTAATAAATGATTAACTGATTACTTAAGTCAGGGGTCCATTCAAGGGAGTGTTCTTGAAATTACATAATGATTCGTTTAGGGGGTGTTCTTGAAGTTATAAAATGATTCGTTCAGGGAGTGTTCTTTTAATTATAAATGATTCGTTTAGGGAGTGTTCTTGAAATTATAAATTGATTCGTTTAGGGAGTGTTCTTGAATTATAAATGATATATGTTTGCCTGAGATATGTCCAGTTGTGAGTTTTGTGGATAAATGGTTTCCCACTTTCACTTATATTCACCCACGGTTCCTCAAACAGAGTACTAAAATTAACAATAGGTTAGAAATAATAAACAATATATGAAAAACAATTAACAATCAGACATTAAAAATATGTTAGAAATATCAGAATTAAACAAAAAATTATTGAAAACCGTTTGTCAGAAATTAACAAAATGTTAAAAATAATTATAACAGAGAATAAAGAAAAACCTGGATATAAATACTTATCATGAGAAAAAAATCCATCACATTAACGACCTTGCACTTATAGAAATATTTATAACATCAGAGCTAAAACCTTTAAAATTGTGGAAAGAAATTATTATTAAAGAGTACTATAAAAGAAAGCAAAAATTAGTAAAAGGTGACATAGTCATAAGTAGTTTATGGATACCTGGTTTCGTTTGCATGGCTTAATTTATGGCTAACAGGTAGATTTTGCTTTTTATAGTAGTATTCATACTCCTGTACCATACAGTCATAATATCATATTAAATGCTTCATTTTTAACCATTGATATTTAATTCTTAATTGATCAGACAAAGCGCTTACAGGGAGTGTTCGCGAAAAATGAAGGGTGGTATAGGCTTACGGGAAAAAATAAGCGCTTTTGATCTCTACTAGTCTTACTTAAAAATGACTCAAACCGAAAAACGAAGAATCCATACAAATTCAGAAGGTTGCAACATTCAACTCGGACCGTAAACAAATCAATAACAAATCATTCATATATTACACACAATAATCATCGATAATTTTTCGACGCATTCGTATATAGTTGATATTTCATAATATTTTTTTATTTTTCATGATCAGCTAGCTACTTTTGAAAACATTTAATCCTGTTTCGAGGGTTTTTGATAAGAAGACGACATCTTCACATTTACCAGAAATGTTCGAAAATCCAGCGCCAGCGAAATATTATTTTAAAGAAACAGAATTAAAACTATTATGAAGTATCAACTATGTACGAATGCTTCGAAAAAAAAATCGATGACGATTGTTTGTAATATCTGAATGATGTGTTTGGAATTAAATTGATTTGTTTACGATCCGAGTTGAATGTTTCAAGCCTAAACCCCCTTTCATTTTTCGCGAACCCTCCCTTTATTATTTTATAAATGTATTAATGTGTATATAAATATGTAAATATGTTTATATCAAGTAAATAGTGACAGCTCAAATCTTGTAATCTATGCTCTAATTTAAATAGATAGATAGATATAAATATACATCATGGCAATCATTGTTTACATCTATCCATTTGCGCAATTTCAACATTTTTCAAAATTTTCATAAATTAATGGGCGAGATATAACACTTTGCAAACGAAAAAGAAAAACCAAGAGACATTCCATTCAATCATTTGTAATTTAAAGGGAGTGTTCATGAACAAATGAAAGAGTGTATAAGCTGATATTTAATTAAATTAATTTTACTTTTATAACTGTTGCTTCTCTAATGAGAAAATGGGGTTAAAAGCGTCTTTTTTCAAGTGCTTAGTGTTCGTATAAATTGACGGAGTAAATAATTCAATGAACTGCAACCATATTGCAACCATAAATGACGAATTCGATTCGATGCATTCGTTTATAGTTGATTTTTCTAATATTTTTAAATGATTTCTTTTTTACAAAATATGGAACAACCAGTTATTTGTATTACTATTATATTTCTTATTACATTATTTATGGCTGTTTTCCTGTCTATAGTGAACTGTATCGTTGTACAGAGGAGTCGCTTGATCAATCGCCTTAGCAAACCATCTAAATATATATTTTTGAAAAAAAATTTGATCTTAGATTCAAAAATAGAAATTTGAAATTTAAAAAAATTGTCGACAGTAAACAAAAAGTGTTCTGTACATTGCAGAAGTAATATGAAGCGCAAGTTTAGTACGTAATAAAGAATATCCCAGGAACTCCTAGATTTTTGTTTACAAATGCAATGTACTGCAATTTCTGGGAGTAATACAAAAAGTCTCAGCCTAAGCAGCACTGAATTTGTTTACATTCCACCCAGAAAGTGCTGTACAGTTAATTTGTAAACAAAGATATGAGAGTTCCTGGCGTATTCCTTGGACTTGATGTGAAAACATTTAGGTCGTTTCTTAAAAGTTTGAGGTTGTCGTTAAAGTTTTATACTTTAGGGGGAACTCATGGTGAATACACTGTTTTATACTTTATGGGGAACTCATGGTGAATACACTGTATTATACTTTAGGGGGAACTCATGGTGAATACACTGTATTATACTTTAGGGGGAAGTCATGGTGAATACACTGTTTTATACTTTAAGGGGAACTCATGGTGAATACACTGTATTATACTTTCGGGGGAACTTATGGTGAATACACTGTATTATACTTTAGGGGGAACTCATGGTGAATACACTGTTTTATACTTTAGGGGGAACTCATGGTGAATACACTGTATTATAGTCTTAAGGAATTGAGTCTTAGCCACAAACTCTGATTTTTATCCCTATATCTTTGCAACCCAATGTTGTAAACATTATATCTATATATAAATTTGTCTTGTCTGTCTGTCTGTCTGTTTGTTTGTTTGTTTGTATCCAATAAACGTCAAAACGGCTGAACCGATCGGGCCCAAATTTTTTGTGGGACATCTAGGGACCCCAGGGAAGGTTTATGAAAAATCAAAATTTCAAATATAATTGTCTCCATCAAAATTCGATCGTCATAAAATTTTTAAAAATTTTGAAAATCCGCGAAATTTTTTGTGAAAATCCGCGAATTATTTTTGTTTTGTTTTACGATGTACACAAAGAGAACATGTTCACAACTAATTTAGAAGATGGGCACGAAGCGCCCTCTAAGGCTAGTATTTTAAATTAGGACTGTTTTTATATCAAATAGTGAAACTTATTATTAATTATTATATTTATCATTATAAAGTCCTAGGGATGAGAAAACTTGAGTTTGTGGCAAAATTCGATTCAGTTATTAGATTTTTTTACAAAAAAAATGACACCTGAGCATACAGTCTCCCAGTCCTATCTTATCGAATGTGTACGCATGATTCACAGATACCTAAAGAGTATATAAGATATTAAACAACTCACTTTGAATTAGATAGAAGGAGGAGGCAACATGTTTGGGAAATTACTTGGGCGACTTTGTGATCTCCTAGCTTATCTATAGTTTTGATTTCATAACAAGTTTATCTGGTTACAAATTAGAAATTTAAAACATTTTTGATCTTCAGATTTGTTTTTAAAAGAGGAGTTGTAATATTGTCATCCAATGATGTAATAATTTAATCTTGGTGTAATTTGGTTCAGTTAGATGATCCTAACAATGGTTGATATCGATATCCAATATCAAGTCAGTACAGTAGTAACCAGAAGATAATAGAATAGGAAAACACATTAAAGCAATACTTATGTGTATCTGATTAGTTTTATTAGACAATAATTGAATTACTAATTTAGTGAAATGGGGCTGTTTACACTGCACATTTAATGTTTCTCGATCATGCTCATTGAACTTTTTAACATTATAATTTGATTCTTAGAGTCGTCTTTCTATTTCACTGTTTAAAGCAAAGCAATGGTAAAAGTTCTAAATTAAAAAACTACAGATGTTTTGAGAAATCATAAAAATAAAAAAAAACTTTATTTACCTCGACATTAGTTTCTGATGAGAAAGTGTATTCTGACATACTTGCAAATGTTTCAAACTTGGGAACATAGTACTTCTCAACTTTAATCTAAACGTTTTAAACTTTTGATTTCGTTATTTTGCTGTCATTATCTTACCATAATCATAGGTTTTTTTATTATGAATAAACCTCTTGATAAACATGAAGTTGACACACGCTGAGCCCTGATTACAGAACAAAATAATAGCTTTTTAATTCTTTAATGAAGACACATGGCGAGTCTTGTTGGATAATGTAAAAATAACCTTTCAATATTTAAATCCATATAGCTATGAGAAGTTGCATCAATTTGATGTCATTTGATTTGTCATTTGATTTTATCTGAATAACTCACCCATACATTTTTCTATTCATATCTATGAACATTTCAAAACCCATAAAGCACTTAATGTTAATAGCTCTCGTTTGTAAGTAGAAATGGGTAAAATTCTCATCGATATTGATGAATATAGACCATTTTCGTTGTGGGAAGAATATATATATAAAAACTTGACTTGAGCAGCACCAAGTTTGTTTACTAAACTAATTAACTTACTTAATTACTTAATTTAACTAAATTACCGATTTCTCTGTAACTTGACCGCCCGCTACAACTCTGATTTTCCAGAATCCAACCTTGGGAAACTCAGGGATCTGTAATAAATATTATAATCTAACAGTAGAGTACAGTAGAGTACAGTACAGTACAGTACAGTACAGTACAGTACAGTACAGTACAGCACATTGTTGAGTGTGTGTTTGTTTTAATCAGTGTATGAAACAATAAAGATAAGATCTGAATTTACAGCCGTTTCCGAAGTCTCAACCTTCAGCTTAGTTAATCTATATAAAGATAATACTTTTTGCATGATTTAGCTCCCAAAAGACTCCTTTACAGATTTGTTGGTGTCTTTTAGTGAGTATTTTTTTATGATACAAGCGGTGATACAAAAATATATGTTTTTGTGTGAATTAAAAAAGTTGTAACCTCAAACTCTGCAGTTACAACACCGTTATTCAGCTGCTTAGAGTGCCATTTTCTAAACATTTTAATTTGTTAAAAAATATTAATGATTGCATAAAATCTCATGATTTGATTAGGTATTCGTCAGGAATTTTAAAAACGGAGAATTCAAAGAAATTGGAAGAACCCATGAGAACAGAAAGTAAGGAGATAGAATAAACCAGGCCCACCTTCTCTTCCCAGGAATTCCAGCTCTTTTGTTATCGAACAATGTAGTTGTCATAATTTTAAATGATCCTCCATAAAGCAAAAAAGGAGTCCGGCTGATTCACAACCGTACCTTTGATCTGATCATTTGTTTTGGCTTGAAAAGTGTTTTGTTCGAATAAGTATTGCGCAAGTAACTTTTCCCAAAAAAACCAAGAATGAAAAAGATCAGTTTTTAAAAACAAAACATGGATATATATTTCATACTTGATCAAACTAAGCTAGCTGCGGCTTAGAATCGTGAAAATATACACTTTCAAGGCATATTGATAATCAAGGACAATTTTCAAATTGGTTTCTTAGATATTTTCTGTACAACACAAGTTTTTTTTTTACATTTCTTCTAAACAGTACTGTAAACAATTTGCGTTCATTTGATTTCGGGGTTCCTATAGTACAGTAGTTCTAGAGAGTACAGATATCTATTAAAGGGTAGAGTATGCGATATTTTCTACAACGAGTTCCATTGTGTACAACTGGAGTTATCGTCTTTAACCTTAAAAATCTTGCGGCATTCAACATAAGTTACTTGATTTAAGCAATGTTTTTTTTTACAAAACAATAATCACAAAATAGCCATAATCCTGTGTTTTCCAAAATGTGATCTCCCAATTTTTTTGCTTTATTAAATACCAGAGATATTAAAAATTTGGTTTAAATTTTAATTAATAAAATACTAGCTGGAGGGCCTGTCGTTGCCCGTGGAAAAAAGAATGAAAAAAAAATTTGAAATTTTTTTTTGATTTTTTTAGTTTAGCCTTTAACACCCCCCGGCCACCCATGAGTGTCCACAAAAAATGTCAGCCCAACCGGTCTAGCCGTTTGGCTGGCTATACGCAACATATACAGGGTGTCCCACGAAACTCATTTAGAACATCACTGTACGAAATACAAAACCTTCAAAATAGACTAAATTCATAAAAAAAGTTAAGTGTTTTTCTTTAAAAATTGTAAAATTTAACCCCTAAACAGATATTAAACGCAAAAAGGGACGGTTAGATGGCAGTCAAAAACATTTTGTAAGAATATAGCATGTCATGCCGGTACGTCTATAGGCCTACTTAGCCCAGCCCATGAAAGCTGATTAGCAGTATGTATATATCTAGTCTGTTTTTAGTTTGTTCAACTAACCTAATAATAAAACCATCAGGATCCAGGATAAACATATCAACAACCTCATCGTAGGGTAGAAGGTCGGTTTTTAGAAGCACTGCTCGAACCTACAATTCAAGAATAAAGATAACATTATTTAATATATTGTCTACTTATGCAAATCAGAGTCATGGAAGTTCGTAGAAAGACTTTGATTCCACTGGAGACCACCGGAGAGAATTCATCGCTATTTACAATGAAAACTTTACGCAGGGTGATTTAAATTCCACTAGAAGAATTCAGATATTCTTCCTGCAGTGTATTTATGCTTCCCAAAAGTCGAATGCCTCGAAAGGATTTCTGATTCAAAACGGAAGTTTTGCGTGATCGTTTAATTATTTCGACTCTCTCTCATAGGAAGTTGAGCCAAAACGTTTATTTCTCTAGAGAAGCATGCACACTACTTTAAAACATTTCTCATTACCATATAAGAAAGACAAAGTGTGTTCCTAATGTACCAGGGTCGTTTTCCGACAACTTACTGAGTAAAAAACACTTTTCCTTCTTTATAAACCATGCACTCTTTTAAAAAATGTATTCCCTTTAATACTTGTAAGCCTCCTAAAATAAACTTACCCGAACTATATGGAAGGCATTGTAGATAACTTTGTTTGTGGAGATGATAACTGCTAAAAATCTAGAAAAAGGGAAATTAAGAGAAAATGAAACCTAAACATTAAATCTAAATTATAGATTTTACATAAAAATTACCAAATTCTCTGTATTGAATTCCAGGGGGGGGGGGGGTAATTTTTGTGCAGAGGAGCAAACAATATTCCCCCCGGCCCCCACCCAACTGAAGCAAACTATTAAATATAAGCCACCCCTGTTTATAAAATGAGTAAGATAAAATACCTATTATTGAATTCTAGTCTTGATTCATTTTGGAAAAGAACAGCTCCAGAATCCTATAAAAAAGAAAACAATGAAAAAAAATAACTTTTTCAATTTTGAGAAAAATGTATTTCCACAATTTTACTTTACTCATAATTTGATAAGTCCATGAAAAGTGTCTTGTATATATATATATATATATATATATATATATATATATAAAAATATATAAATATATAGTTGTTTATATATATATATATATATATATATATATATATACCCAAAGCATTCGAAACCATTAGCATTAAAATGATCTCTCAGGCCTAGTGCTTGTAATTTCTAACAATATTTTCGTAATTTCAAATTGTTTCGATAAGAATATCAAAAGCAAAATGTCATGTGTCAATGTAGTATACATAAATGAAATATTCCTACGGCTGCCCCCCAAAAAATTTTGCATAAATTGATATTTTAGATGCAAAACTTATTTTTATCTTAAGTTTTCTTTTTTCAAGCTGTATTCCAGTTTTTTGTGCATTTTACATGAATGAAAACAAGAAATCATCTTTTAAATTATAATCTTAGATGATATTCATAGATTTTTCTTATTTCTGCCATTGTTTGATCGTTTATTTTAAAAATGGATGTTTTTAAAAATTGTTGCGTAGGATTCAGATAATGACAATTTTATCTGCGAGTAAGAAGGGAAAGGTGGGGGTAGTAGCGCATGGGAGCTACATCAATGCAACTTCCGAGCCCCATTTTTCACATTTTATCTTCCGATCCGGTTCTAAATTTTCTTCCTTTTCTTATTAAGTAAAATTTTTGTTGTTTTTCATGTTTAGATTTTTATTTTTGTTTGGAACAAATACAAATTTTAGATGAAGCTAAATCCTCTTTTTTACGATTTTTATGGATTCTTTGTTAACATCTAGTTAAAATACCCCTTAATCTTTTCATGTAAAATAATTCAAGTTTACAATTTGAACCGTTGACAATCATCAGAGATGGCTTGGAAAACTTGATGTGGCTCGAATATTGTAAAATCGTGGTTTGCTTTCCCCTCCTCATCTGTAAGGTGCAAATCAAGTGTTAAGCAAGTGCATATCCTAAGTAACAAACACATTTTTGCACTTAAATTTCAATGCAGTCAGTTTTTGGACAAAAGACAATGCAGTCAGTTTTTGGACAAAAGAAAGCGTGGTGACATAAAAGATCAATTCCATATCAAAGACTTAAAGGGACTGAAAACGTAATTTAAAGTGGCATGTCCGATTTATAATAAAAAACAGAAACAAAAGTAAAAGGTAATCTCATTTTTATTTCAAATGAAAAAATAATTCTAGAAATAATTTTAAAAATCTTTGGATTAAATCCAGGAACCAATTAGATTATCAAGTACAATAGGTGGCTACAGAGAAATGGACCTATTGTCCACGACGTCACAAGTGTCAAATATAAAAAGGAAAACGAAATTTTCTCGCAATATTAGACATTTTTTTCAAGATTAAGTAAAAAAGTGTAAAAACAGAAAAATAAAATAGCACATAAAATTGCACCTTTTTCACTGAAAGATAAGCTCTTTATTCTAAAATTATCACTATTATTAATATTTTTGTCGGACACAATACTGAGTTGACATATGTGACGTAAGAATACAACTGTACTGAGAGTGTACAAATACTAGGTTGCCATCTACTGTACTTAATAATCTATTTGCCAGGAACCAATAACACGTTAAAGCAACGTGCCATAATAATTATGTACAGCCAATTTAACATTAGACAGTGGTAGTTGATTATATACAATGACGACTACATGTTTTATGTGAATTTTGATTTTTAACAAGCTTTTTTCGAATTACAAGTTTACAAGTAATCAAAGAAAAACTTTTTTAATTGACAGCTTCTCTTTACTTCTATGTTTTTTGTATCCATGCTGTTTAAGAGCTTGATATAAATTAAAATTGAATCAAAAGTCGTCTTAATTGTATGATGATCACTTTATAACACGTCTGTTATGATATTTACTAAAAAAGTGACCAGGAGTGAAAAAGTACTTTACAAAGTACACAATAGTTTTATAAAACTTGTTTTCAGTTGTGTACTGGACTGCACTTGAACGGTGGATAGTAAATTGTCAAGATAAGAGAAGATAAAACATAGATTAATACAACACAGATAGTACACTAGATGTTGTCTTTTCAAGATTTAAGGGGTTTTCGTTCAAAAAAAAACCCCGAGGCAGAAGCCCAAAGGACAAAGAGAGAGAGAATGCGCTGCCTGAACGGAACTCATTTGGGCTTCTTCCTCAGGGTTATTGTGAACGTAAAATACCTATATCTTGAAAAGACGAAATCTAGAGTTCTATCTGTGTTGTTATTAATCTATGAGATAAAAAGACAATTCGACCAAGAAACTATCATCTTAGATTGTGCTGGAATGTTCTACACTCTGTAAATTTAAAAAGTATTCTTTCAACCCAACCAACACATACCTCACACACAACACACAACCCAACCAACACACACCTCACACACAACACACTCAACCAGCACACACCTCATACACAACACAGAACCCAACCAACACACACCTCACACAAAACACACAACCCAACCAACACACACCTCACACACAACACACAACCCAACCAACACACACCTCACACACAACACACAACCCAACCAACACACGCCTCACAAAACCAGAAAACCTGATTCACCAACAATTATTGATGCTTAAAAAAGTCCTAACTTTTAAAATTAGCACCTCCCAATTAATTGCTGGTTATTTTTGAAATTTATTTTTGAAAACATACTTGTGTTGTTATTAATTCAGAATGGAAGGGGGTCAAACTCGACACCCCCCAGATGTTTAGAGTTAAAATCATAGAGAATAGAATATAAAGAGAGGAATTAAAAGAATCTCTCGGTATGAATTTTTTCAGTCCCTTTCAGCCTGAAAGGGAGTTCAAAGTGTAAATATTCCAGGGCCCAACAGGTTATATAGCATAAATATGTGAAGTACACATGCAGTATGGAAACAGTACACAAAAATGGCCGTTTTACACTTTTTTCTAGTAAATTCCTCTCTATAAATTCTATTCTCTATGGTTAAAATACCTGGCTGAACCCTTCAATCCTGAGGTTGTATGAGTAACCTAAACTTGTTCCCTCCGGAACCTAAACAGTTTGTTATTTCAAAAATAGGATTTAATTATCACATAAGATGACAATTTAATGACCTGAAACTCTTTATTTCTAAAATTTTTAAGTTTATTTTCTGTCTTTGATATGTTTTTCATGAGATGAATGATTCCAGAATAAAAGCAACAGTAGTATAGCTATAGTGAACCATTATTTTAAGAAAATAATATTGAAATAAATACAGTTGCCTGTAAAGTCTCATCCTTTGTTGCTAACACTGTATCCTGTATCCCTGTCAATTGCAAATAGATGGGTTTTTTTGCTATCAAGTTGGTTTTAAATTAATTTAAAAAACACGACTGAAAATAAATAATGTTTCCATTAAAAAAAAATATATTACTGACAGGACAGAACAAGAATCTAATTTTGACTTATTTCTTATTGCATAGAAAAGATCTTTAATATAAAAAACAGAAGTCAAAACGCAATACCATATATATTGATGATCCAAGGTGTATCACATAATATCTATAAAATATATATTTCCAAAAAGAACTTGGTAGTGTCATCTAATATTAAAGTAAGCAATGGAATGCGATAGATTATTTAATCTCAATGTGGGACACCCTGTACACTTGTTCCACTTTATTCTGGGGACCTCTGTATCCCCTATATTCTGGTCACCCCTGTATCCACTATATTCTGTGAACCCCTGTATCCACTATATTCGGGGGACCTCTGTATCCCCTATATTCTGGTGACCCCTGTATCCACTATATTCTGTGGACCCCTGTATCCACTATATTCTGCGGACTCCTGTATCCACTATATTCTGGGGACCCCTGTATCCGCTATATTCTGTGGACCCCTGTATCCACTATATTCTGGGGACCCCTGTATCCACTATATTCTGTGGACCCCTGTATCCATTATATTCTGGTGACCCCTGTATCCAATATATTCTAGGGACCCCTGTTTCCATTTTATTCTGGGGACCCCTGTATCCACTATATTCTGGGGACCCCTGTATCCATTTTATTCTGGGGACCCCTGTATCCACTATATATTGGTGACCCCTGTATCCATTTTATTCTGGGGACCCCTGTATCCACTATATTCTGGGGACCCCTGTATCCACTATATTCTGGGGACCCCTGTATCCAATATATTCTGGTGACCCCTGTATCCACTATATTCTGGGGACCCTGTATCCATTGGATTCTGGTGACCTCTGTATCCACTATATTCTAGAGACCCCTGTATCCACTATATTCTTGGGACCCCTGTATCCATTTTATTCTGGTGACCCCTGTATCCACTATATTCTAGAGACCCCTGTTTCCATTATATTCTGGTGACCCCTGTATCCACTATATTATGGGGACCCCTGTATCCATTATATTCTAGGGACCCCTGTATCTACTATATTCTGGTGACCCCTGTATCCACTATATTCTGGTGACCCCTGTTTCCACTATATTCTTGGGACCCCTGTATCCACTATATTCTAGGGACCCCTGTATCCACTGTATTCTGGGGACCCCTGTATCCACTATATTCTAGGGACTCCTCTATCTAATTTATTCTAGGGACCCTTGTATCCAATATATTCTGGGGACCCCTGTATCCACTATATTCTTGGGACCCCTGTATCCACTATATTCTTGGGACCCCTGTATCCACTATATTCTGGTGACCCCTGTATCCACTATATTCTGGGGACCCCTGTATACACTATATTCTTGGGACCCCTGTATCCACTATATTCTTGGGACCCCTGTATCCACTATATTCTTGGGACCCCTGTATCCACTATATTCTGGTGACCCTTGTATCCAGTATATTCGGGGGACCTCTGTATCCACTATATTCTTGGGAACCCTGTATCCACTATATTCTGGGGACCCCTGTATCCACTATATTCTGGTGACCCCTGTATCCACTGTATTCTGTGGACCTCTGTATCCACTATATTCTGGGGACCCCTGTATCCACTATATTCTGTGGACCCCTGTATCCACTATATTCTGGGGACCCCTGTATCCACTATATTCTTGGGACCCCTGTATCCACTATATTCTGGTGACCTCTGTATCCACTGTATTCTGGTGACCCCTGTATCCACTATATTCTGGGGACCCCTGTATCCACTATATTCTGGTGACCCCTGTATCTAAAGGATTACCTGGAGTAGAATAGATTTTGCTTCAAGTTCATTCAAAAATTCCTCTGAGCCTGACACCTTAATATATATAATATCTATAATCTATATTCATAAAGTAAGAATCTTAGTTGAATATGTTTACTCTTTAAAAGAAATCTTAGTTTTCAAGCAAAGCTGGGTTCTCAAGATAGTTTTATATATTTGCAGTTACTATAAAGAGACTGTCTACGTTTTTCCACTGGCCCTTCATTTAAAGATTCATATTCTCCATTAACAAGGCTACTCTTCCAAAATTTGATACGATGGATTATGTTACATAGTTGTTTTTCAATCTGAAAATTTGGATTGAATTTTGGATTTATGTATTATGAAAACCAGAAATGAAATGTACTAACTTTAGCTTTTAGTCAAGAAAAATGACGATAAAGACAAGCATGAAAATGGCTGAGATATCTACCATTTTCTGTTTGTATGTCCGATCATAACTCAAGAACCCCTTCACCGATTTGCCTCAATTTTGATTAGGAAACGTGGTCGAACCACGTAAATGTTTTTAACGTTGTATTAACATTATAAATTAAATAGGTTGACTTTTATAAGAAAAACTTAATTTCCAGGCAACCTGGGTTCCGGGTTCCCATCCTAGTTTATTAGAAAGAAATTGACTATTATATTTAACATATAGAGAGATAAAATTAAATATAATATTTTCGCTCATATATATTTGTATGTATGCTAGCTATCGCTAAGCCAAAATATTTTTCAAGGGAACTCTTGAGCACTCCGGGGGTAACATAGGCAAAAAAAATTCAACAATTTTTTAAAATTGAAATATTTTTTTAAAAATTGGATTTAAAAAAATCCCACATGCATTGATGTCAAGTGAAAACTTAAATGTATAACCTTTAATTGTGTATCTTGTAAAAGAATGCAAGATCAGAATTTTTCAAAGATATTTTGCAAAGCTTTACAAATAGTTCGCGAACTGAATTCTGAATAGTTTAGAAATGTACTTGTCACGGGGATTGGAATTTTAAATATCTGTTTAAAGTACTAATCTCTTTTTTGTTGTCTGTCTGTCTGTTTTTAATAAACGCCAAAAAGGCCGAAACGATCAGTCCCAAATATTTAATTGCAACTCACATTAGAGACTTTTTGTCCTTAAAGGGAGAGACCGGCAATGCTTGGTAGTTAAACTGAGATTGCAGTATTGTGGACAAATTTTCAGGATTCATTTGAGGCATAAAAATCTATTCTACGCCGACGTATATTTACTGAGTTTGATCGCAAAGTCGACTTTCAAAATCACCTTTTTGGGTCGATACGTTTAAAAAATCTCTTTTTTTTAATTATTAAGTAACGACACCAAAAAATGTAACAAAAATTATGCAGTAAACTAATTAGTTGTTTAGAAACAGGTTGAGAAAATAAAAATTAACTCTTATCATCGAAAAACAGTAATCTTATTCAATTATTATTTTGTGAAATCTCTCATTATTAACAAAGATTTTTTGGAATTTTTATTGAAATGAAGAAATTTGAAACATTTGTAGAAATCTGCGCACAAATTTATAGAAAATAAGAAATTCAATATAATTATGAAAACGAAATAATTAACTCTAACATTGATTTATCGACAAATTTCTTTTGAGAAATATGTTCAATTAAACACCTAATTAGTTTACTATAGAATTGTTACTATGATTTTTGTTGTCGTTATTTAATAATCTTAAAAAAACTGATCCTTTAAACGTATACCCACCAAAATTAATGATTTTGAACGTCGATTTTGCGCTCAAACTCAGTAATTATAGATCTTTAAAACGTTTTATGTGTCTCAAACCTAAACAGTTTCTCTACAATACTGCAATCTTAGTTCAACTACCAAATATTGCCGGTTGCTAATATTCATTCAAACATTTCACGATTTCAGTATCAGTCCAAAAAAATTAAGATACCTGCAGGCATTCAAGGCAATTTTTTATTTCAAATGTTAATATTTTTTCTTTGTATAAATTGTAAAACAATAATAAAAAAGTTCGCGGATTTTATAAAAATATTTTGTGGATTTTCAAAATTTAATAAAAAATCGAATTTTGTTGGAGGATCATTTTGAGATTTTGATCATCTGCATAAACCTCCCTTGGGTTATCTGGGCCCGATCGGTTCAGCCGTTCTGAGTTTATTGAATAAAAACAGGCACCGAGACAAGGAAAGTATATGTATATGATTTACCTACCTCAACTCCATCTCTTGATAAGGATGCTTTAACTCTCATTGGTTCGGAGCCTCTGTATGCATTCACACAAATCTAGAAATATATTAGATTAGAATATATTAGATTCATTATATAAGATTGTGAATTTATGGGGGGCGGGGGGTGTTCGGTGCTCCACTCTGGAATCTCAATAGAAAACATATTTTCATAGCTTAATATCTCCCCCCCCTTAAAAAATTAAATCAAGTTGCACGACCTAGAATATCCTGATTATTTAAAAGTTTATTTAGATCTTAATAAAATATTCTAGCTGTGTAAATTGTAAATTGTACATCAGATCCTGAATTAGTTTGGAATGGTAAAAACCCCCCCCCCCCCCTCCCTTCAAATCACCTGATATATTGTGGATGGACGAATAATCCCCCCCTTCTCCTTCAAATCACCTGATATATTGTGGATGGACGAATGATTCTTGAAGCAAGGATAAGATAAGAGGCTCGGCTCCTAAAATACAAATAATACATTACAGGAACTGTTGGCAAAATTTCAAGCAATGGCATGACTGCATCCATCTAAGTCTTCTCTAAGAAAATTGATAAAAGTACATTTATAATTTTTTTTTCAAATTTCGTTTTTAAACCTTCCACGTCTTTAAAAACATTTCTTTTTATGAAGATAGCTTTTGATTAAAAAAGAGGGTTAAAACCTTTGTATGGCTAACAAGTTCGTAGAATCATTAGAACAAAAACTATGATAGTAATTACGGTTTCAAATTATGATAATTAATTTATATTAATAAATTATTAAAGACTTTGACGAAAAATAAAACGATATCGTAGTACAAAACTATATAATATTGACTAATGTAATTTCTATTGACCATCAAATAACTCGGGCAAGCACGATTCACAACGTTGCCCTTTAAACAGTTTAATCTGATGAATAATGTATGGAATTTATAACAACAACGACAGTCCATGAATCCATATAATACAGTTTAAAACACCTTTTATTTTTACAAATAAAGTAAACTTGTAATTTTGTAATCACTATATCTTTGGAACCCGATGTCATAGACATTTGATGTTTCAGACTATAACTTTTGTTATATAAAAAAGTTTGAAATATTTATGGTTTACACCTTCACTTGGTAAGATGGGAATTAGAAAACTTTTGATCTGTAAAAGCTATTTCCGCTCCTTTACAGAAATTTTCATGGACACATCACAAGGTTATAGAGTGAGAACCAAAAAAACAGTAGAATTCTCGAAGTCTTCGTTTTATTTTAATTATGAAATATTGCAATGGATATTGTTTTTATAAACTATCTAATATTCCATTCATTTTAAGAAACTACGTTTACAACTTTGCGAAATTTTTTTTTCTTTTTGTTTTTTTTACTATTTTTATTAATGATTTACCTATACTGGTTGTACACTCTGTTGTCAACATTGTCAATTTCATCAATGTTATAGGTATCCAGGGATATATCTCGTATTCCTAAATAGGAGATATTTCATCTATGTTATAGGTATCCAGGGATATATCTCGTATTCCTAAATAGGAGATATTTCATCTATGATATAGGTATCCAGGGATATATCTCGGATTCCTAAATAGGAGATATTTCATCTATGATATAGGTATTCAGGGAT